AAAATCATGAGGGTTTCTGGCAGCAAGTCAGTGTAAATGGAGACACCAAAAGAAAGGTGCCTCCCTGATGGCAAATTTCAAAATCCTCCTACGAGCCAGCCAGGGAATTCTTTTAATAAGAAAAGTAACAAGCAGGGGTTGCTGCCACTCCCTCTATAATAACCACATCTTGTTTATGAGGAAAGAGAATCATACAGTCCTGTCGTCTGGGTACACAATTCCCAATCAGGAAACATAAAAGAAATTGGGGCAATTTAGCCACAATGAAAATTACTGCATATAAGAACCCTTATAATTAATGTTTTACATTGATCCTCCTTGAAGATTGGGAGGAGGTCTTAAAACTGTACCGAAATAACCAGAGACGTTCCTAGTTTCACCTCTGATAAATGGTGTATACTATTGCATAACTGTGCAGCCAGGGGTGTGCGATTTCCAACTTGGGTAGACATAGCTGCGCTCTTTAATCAAGCTTGCGCACTAAAAATATCAGTGTAGCCACAGTGGCTTGGGCTAGCTGCCCCATGTACGGTCTCGCCCAACCCCCCCCCCCCCCCAACTCCCCTGGTATGTATTCGGGCACCTAGTCCCTGCTGCCGCCCGCGCAGGCATATTTACGCTGTTATTTTTTGCATGCCTGCTCAGTCAAAGGTAGCAGGTGTACCGAGCCAGAAATTGTCGCCGGCTGCAATGTGGATATAGCCACAGTGTGCTGAGGGCACTGCTAAGCCTTTAAAGTTGCAACAGACATTTTGGGGAGAGAGGGGAACAGGTTCTTAACTTGAGCATTAGACAAAAGAGAGAATATTACACAATCCGTAGAGAGGGAAGACCAATGAGTTTTCATGAAGCATATGGCTGTATCACATGCTACAACAGGGCATATTAATGGTCGTTCTCTTTTTCCTCAGAAACTTGTTCACACAGGGTATAGGTCACAGCAGTTGCTGAATTTAACTAGGGAAATATTTAACAGAGTTTTTAAAATGCCTAAACACAATAAAGGAACCACTCACTACCTCTTTTGGACATGAAAACATCTATATACAAGCTACTCATCAGTCTTCCCTCCTTATGGATCAGTCATTCTGCTGGATTCGACCGTCTTAAACAGTGTATTTGACCTACGTAGTCAAGTAAGTTTGTGCCATGCAGAAGCAATAAATCAAATCACAGAATGAAATGATTTAATCAAAAGTGGCTGGCTTGCAAGATTTCAAGAAGTCTTTTTGACCCCTTCATCTTAGAAAACATGCTTCAGAGCCATGGATTCAAAGTCTTTATGGCTTATCATTGTGTAATCTCTTGCTATGATAATTATAACAGGAATTGCTGGGCTATATTTTGTGCTGAAGTAAAATATTATAACAATTTATGCTATTGTTTCACAGTGTGGTATCATAATGCAGCTCTGTAGTTAATAACATAGCTCTGTATTGCTGGGCTACATATAATGACTTATTGTACCAGTCCAGATTGGGAGTCAGAAAGCACAAATTAATTTTCCTGACTGAAGAGAGAGAAATTTAATCTCAGCAGTCTAAATTCTAGATGTTAATTAGTTTGGATGAGATCAAAATTATACTTGTAATCTAGCTGTGCGCTCAGGTTGGAATGTTTGGGTTTTTTGGTTTGTTTTTGATAGACAGTGAAGCCAAAATCAATGCGAGTTCAAAGACATTAATAAAAGAGTTTGTTGAAACCCTTTAAAATAATACATTAATAATGCAGGTTATGGTAGTTCAACATTGTAGACAGAAAGCTAGATATGTCAGGGCAAATTAAAGAGCTAAAACTTGCATTTCTTGCTAAATTAATAGGCTAAAAAAAGAAACTAGTATTTTTTTTAATGGAGGAGAGGCCTAGGGAAAAAGACTTTAGCAAATCCAACTGTTTGAAGATTCTTTCGAAATAGGAAGCTGAGTTACCATTAAAAACAAAAGAAAATAAATATTTATTTTAGATTCTTTATATAGAAAGCTTGTTATGAGATTTAATAAGCAGTGCACATCAGAGGCTGGAGATATAATCATCTTCTGTTGAACTGGCTTTTGAATTAGAAAGAGAGTCCAAACTAGATAGCCTGAATGTCCTGGGATGTGAGTCAGTGACACATCAGACACAAAACTACCTGCAGTGCCTTTTAAGGCCTTGTTTGTAAGTTACAAACTTTTATAGTCGGTGTGTAATCGTGAAGGCAGTCAGGGTAAGCTGTCTAAGATGGGCCTTGGTGTTCTCACATACATCACTCAGAATCCTGGAGGCTGCATTTGGCATTGTCCAAAGCCTGCTGATGGTAACAGTATTGTATTATCTGAGGCAGTGAAGCACCGCAAAAAGTAGACTGAAGTCCAATCAATGCTGCAAGACACACTAGGATGTATCAGGACCTCAGCTTCAGCCAGAAAATGTCCATTTGTTTAAAGGAAGAAAAAGGCATGACATTTAACACATTTAAAATTGATTATTTCATCAATAGGTTAATAGAAAACCAGGCTGCAAGTTCACTTCCTGCTTATACATCCATTCTCTAATGTGCGATTAGAGTATGAAAAATGAAAGACATAAAGCAGACTGGGAAAGGGGCTTTATGTACTGGAGACAGCTTCCCCTTTCAGAGGGGTGCTAAGTCTAGACTTTGCTATTTATATGCAAATTTTTTCAGAAAAAGTAAGTTTTCAGCGGGGAGATTGAGCCTCTTTAGTTGTTACTTCCTGCTGTGACTTGCTAAATGTCTCTTAAAACTAAAGCCTCATAATATTAAAGGACACAGTAGACACAGTCACTTTTAGGCTTGACCAACTTAAATGTGTAGATAAATCTGACTGAATCGGTTGGTCTTCTGGATAATATTGTAGATTTTCATTTCAGTAATAGATTATCTATTTTTTAAAGTTAAGGGGATGGGTGACGGCAGTCAAGTGTCCAGGTTTCCATTTTCCCCCCTTATCAATGCATAGTATTAAAAACTGAATGCCACTGCATTGAAAGAATGTATATTGTTAACGTTCTAGGGTGGCTGGGTACTGCTGTTCAATTACAGTTGAATTACCATTTTATAATAGTGTTACTGGTTGCGTGCAGATTGTAGTTATCATTCTCAATGCTGTACCTGAGGAATTGCTCCAAATAGGCAACTTTCCTAATATAAGATAGTAGGACAGGGTTTCTCCTTACAGCACTAAACTGGATTCAGCATATGATCACGTCACCTACTGTACGAATCAGGTTACATGCTCAATCTTCTGATTGAGCTACTTGTCCATTACGGGAAAACAAGTATTTTTCTATTCTTAGCCATTCAACTGAAGATACAGCTTTTTGTTAAACATTTGAATGAGTTAACTGTAATGTTACTTTTCCGTATAAACAATCTTTTGGTTAAGCGCTTCTTGGCATTATAAAATACATCTAGAAAAGAAAACAAGTAAAAGACTTTTTCAGAGTTTGCATATTTTATTTGTTGTGTGCATATCATCTCAAAAGTTGAAGGAGCATACTGGGCAGGAGTGGGAGAAACAATATATACACCTAATTATGACAGATTTGTTACCAACAGATCCCATGTTGACTGAGATGGTAGACTAACCAGTTCCAAAGTGTGCACTACGATGCATCATCACAATTAACCCTGCAGTATTTGACCGCCTTAGACCAAGATTTGAACGAGGGGAGAGATTAGGTGGAATATAAGGCCTGCTGAAGTGTCTATCAGTTGGTACTTGTCTCATTCTCTTCTGTCTGGCTTGAAGATAGGTATGAGCTCTAATACTGCTGACAGCTGATGGAGGTTTGCCTTTATCCCTGTTAGTATTGTGAAGTCTGTTTTCCACGCTGCATGTATACAGTTACCTGACAATCGCAATGCTGCTACGCTGCTTTACCACCTCATCCTGAGACGTGGCCCCAGTAGGTAACATTTGAGACCTATTTTGGGATAGCGACGGGGAAGCTTGCTCTGCTACTGTCCATACATACAAGTTTGGTGGATAAATAACAGATAAGATTTTCCAGTGTGTTAATGTTGGTGGTTGTTAAGTGTTTTTCTGTGCCTGGTGTTGTTTTGAAAAGAAAGATACAGGCCCTGCCCCATGAAAGTTACTCTAAAAATATTGTTAGTCTAGTGTATTTCTCATGTTGTGAATTAGCTTTTGGGGAGAAATATATAGATTCTGCTAAAAGACAGTGAGAGAATTAATTTCCCATAATGAGCAGAGGATTTAAGTGCTTTTTGTACTGTTCTGCCTATTAACGTCAAAAATGGGAACTTGAAACTGAGAGAGATTTAAAAGTTTGATGGAATTCTAATAAAGCAATGGTGGCATTACAGTTTACCTTCCAAACAAGAATTTATACTTTGCCAGTAACCTGCCTCTGAAAAACCAAGATGTGCATAGTAACAATGTCTACTTGACATTTATAATAATAATAATAAAGTAGAACAGCTAAGCATAACATTAGAAATAATGCTTATGGTGGTTTAGATTATTTGAACCTATTACATCATCACCTGGAATTAAAGGTTTTACGGTTACAGGTATCTAGTGATTCGTGCATCCTCTTAGCAAAAGGGGAAATCCTTTGTTTGGCAATTTTTGCTATGATTTAAACAGCATTATACCTCGGTAGTTGTCTTGTCTCTAATAGTGCATCATGTATACAAGAAGTACTGAGTGCATTTTCTATTCCATTGTCATTGCTATTTTAGATCCAATTATTATTGACAAGTCTTGTCATGTTGTAAAGTCTTGAAAGTATCTTTTTCGGGGGGGGGGGGGGAGGAGCAAGGCCTTCTGTGTTGGTGGTGGTTCTGAGAAGCTGTGGTGTTCTGTGTGCATTTTGTCTGTGTAGCTGTTTCACATATAACAGGCTTGTGCTGGTATTTTACTTCACATGCTACTTTGACATTTCTTTTCTCCCCCTTTTCATATTTTTCTTTTCTTTATATTTTATTATTTTCTCTTTTTTTTTTCTCTTCCCCTTCTGCTCTCTGGATGCAGCCAAACGCAAAGCATGGAAACTAAACCGTGTTGGTAGCCTGCGAAATATATACAGCAGCAGCAGCACCAACACTGAAGGTAACAAATTAAAACAACACGTTTTAGATGAACACCTTACCCTCTCTCCCCTTTTTACCTGCCTCTCCAGACTTGTTCCCCCTTCCTCTCACTTTCCAAATGCAGGAATGGAAATCAAATTTGCCCAAAGCATGCGTGCTTTCACCTTTTGTTTGCAGAGTCATTCCCATGGTCTTTTCATCTTTTTGTTTGTGCGTTTTATTTTGCCATTCATGTTCCTTTCAGCTTACTTAAATTCTGACCTTTCCCTCTAGTCGTGGAGTGGTGATGTTTAAATTACTTCGGGAACCCATTTTCTTTTATTTATTTATTTTCCCCCCTTTATACATGTGGGCACTCAATGTAATATTTCCCAAGTTATTACAGTTTTTAAAAGTGTTAGTATCAGGTGTAATGATCTGTAGCCAAATACAATAGTGTGCCGTGACATTTAAGTAACAGTCTTAATTTGTTTTGTGAAAGCGTTCTCCATAATGCTCTTTGCAGCTCTAATCCAAAGGCGAGACAGAGCCAGGTCATTTGCATGTGCTACTCTTGCTTGTAAATTCTGTATATTGTTGTATTTCTAAAGGTCGCCTGGTGCCAAAGTTCACAAATTGACTTACATTGCTTTTTTCACTGAAGACAGCCGTCATGCCTTTTGTATAATAGCAGATTGAATTTTTCCCCACCTTCATTTGAACAACACAATTATAAACTGTCTTCTTTTTTTATTATTATTACAAATGTCAGAGGTCAAAATTACTTGGAAGCCAGGCAAGGAGAAAAACCCTCGGCCACCATCTCAGACAGCGAGTAAGAGGGGATGGTATATGAAATATGGAATGCAAAATAGGTCACATCTCGGTAATCTTGGTATTATAGGGGGGAAATCTTTTTTTCACTTAAGTGCGAACCAAATGGGTCAAGTAATCGCAAGCGCATGCCCTAACACTAATTGACTTATTTTGGAATGATTATAACTGTAATATTTTTCTTAATGTCACTGTTTTCTGGGCTGTTGATTTTAGCGATTGCCAAGTAGTGGCATTAAATCTCTTGTAAATTTTAAATTGCATGCTATTTCTGTAAACAAGTCCCTCTGTTCACATCCTGATCATTAACCTTTGGTGATTTATATCACCAGCCTTTTTTTGCACAATTACTACCGTATTGCTGTCGGATGCCTTGCTCTCACCGACAGATAAAATGTGTCTGGGAAACAAAAGTGTGTTTTTTACTGCAGCTTGTTAAGGAAACACATTTTATTATAATCTTGTTTTATTCCTCATTGTAAACTTAAAATTCTCACCTTTTAAGTAACAATAGAGCTATATCCATTGTGATACTTTTGTGTTACCTTTTAAAGCATTTAAGCGCAAAGTGTGAAATGAATTGGAGAGAAATAAATACTAGTTGCTGAACATGAATAAATAAGCGTTTTGCTATTTGAAAGGAAACTTCTGAGATACTTTTTTGTAATTTGCAAAATGTGTTCTTATTTTTGTCACTGATGATCTCTTTTAGACATGTTTTTTCCCCCAGATCAAACATGCAGGCATGTTTGCTATTGTAGGATGACTCTTGACAAGCATGGGATTTATTGTTCTATTTTTACTAAAATTTTAACAATAAAATAAATAGAAATAATTGCATATATTTTACAGAAAGGGAGTTCATATTTGGGGGCCTGTTCAATCTTCGGTGCCATTTAACATACTGATACCTTTCATATTAATATATGGGTATGCTAGGGGTATGTTCATCTGTGGGAGAACATAACTGTAAAAGTTGAACTCCTAAGACTGCAACTAGCAGCACCAATGAGATTTTTCTCTATCTTAACTGATTAGGCAAGGGGGAGGGGTGGTCTTTCTCAGAAGTACTCACCACATGGGAAAGAGAGAGTCCAGGAAAATTGTGAGTAATAATCGTGCATCTTTGAGCTACTAAACAAAGTCTCTGGATAATGGCCGGCATTGCAAAACTGGGGAATGCGCAGTTAATCAGGAGTATACATAGTAGTAGTCTGTCACCGTGCCTCAGTGGGTCACAGCTGAAAATACCGGATTCAGGACAAACTGCTGAGAAATGGGACAGACCTCCCTCCCCCAAACTGGTGGTTATTCCTTCATAAAATATACTAAGCCAATATCAAAAGTAAACTTCTGTCTCACCACACTGGTTAACAAGAAGTCATAAATGCAGTCTCCTCGGGTATCCCAGCCCTTGTTTCACCATCCAGACAGTAGACTTAATGATGAGTGGTTATTTAAAGCCAATTTCATCAAAGGGTTCTTCTAATCCCAAGAGATCAGCCACATAGCCAGGTCAATATAGAACTCAGATCTTACCCAATAATCATGCTGTTGCCAATCCTTTAGTATCTAATATCTAAAGGTTATTTATAAGAGGAAAGAAAGAGGAGAGAGTTATAATGGTCAGCGAAAACAAATACACTCATTGCAAAGTTCTTGTATCAGGTTTGAAGCAGTGATGTTATAAACTGCAGGCTTGTAAAGTCTCTGGTAATTTCCAAAAGATTGAAAGGTCACCTTTGTCCGGCGTATCCTCGTCTATCCCTCCACAAACACAAGTCGACACCACACCATTCTGTTTTGTTGCAAGCACGTTCCTTCCATTTCTGGCCAAAGAGTTTAGTCATGGGATCGGCCCAGTGTGTTTTCGGTCTGCCCAGCGATCACTTGTGGTCTCTGGGGATCCAGTCACTGATGATTGAAAGGTACTCAGTCCATTAGTAGAATGTTCCTGTTAGTGTAATTCCATAGTCCAGAGATCAGAGCAGGAAAGAGGCAAAATGCAGATGCTTCTAGGGTTTTTTATATCTTCTCCCATGTGGAGGGACTGCTCTCAGTCTTAGTTTGTGGGAAATAACAGGCACAAAAAGGAGTCCAGGGTCACATGAGCTGGTCACATGCCCTTGCATGCTTCGATGAGTCATGGAAACAGTCATTACCCATATTCTGGCTAAAACGTCCCCAGGAAGGCCCATCAGGCGGGGACAGGCTTCTTCCATCGTCTGTTGCGCGAGCTAAGTGTCCTTTAATGGACCATCAATTTGAATAGTCCATTCACAATGTGCTGGCCAGACTGGATGTAAATTACCTTGTGGGTGTTATCCCAGGAGCAAACACACTTGAAATACTAATACTAGTTAATATTCATAACTTTAGATACAAAGATGAAACATGCATACAAATAGGATAATCATATTTGACACACTGTAACTTTTCCATTAACATATTTCATATAAATTTGTCATAATTACATAACAGTGGTGGCAATAGTGATATCTATTGTCATATTTTAATCATACAACAAGTCCTAAGTGCCGCCAAACAGCTGTTTGGCGGCGGGGGAAGCGCTGGGAGGGAGGAAGGGAGGAGGAGGAGGTGGAGAAGAGGATCTTGTGCAATGCTCCCTTGTAAAGTCAGCCAAACAACGTTATAAGGGAGCATTGACCAACTTTAAATGACTATGTTCCCTAATGGAGCAGCAACGTAACTTCGAAACAACGTTAAGCGGGAGGACGGTAAATGAGGAGTTACTGTATTCTGTTGGAACTCTTGCATCCACAAACTGACTAGGCTCATCATTTCTTAACTGGGATCTTGTCAATATCCTAGCCCATGACAGCATGGCTTTAGACCAGTGGTTTTCAACTTTTTTTTCATTTGCGAACTCCTACAAAATTTCAAATGTAGATGTGGACCCCTTTGGAAATTTTAGACGTAGTCTGCGACCCCCAAGCATCTGCAGACCACAGTTGAAAACCATTGCTTTAGACTATTGATTTTTTGACATGCAGAGAAGTCCCATAGAGAAAGAGAGCTAACAAGAGCTGGAGCGAAACCAGGTCTCACTCCCTAGCGTGTTACCATTAGGTCATTAATATATAATAGGTAATATATGCTAAAAGTGATCAGTGGAATCCCAGCAATTCAACATCCTTACACCCCAGGGCCCAAATTCCATCCTCATTTAGACTTGATCAACCATGTTGATTTCATTGGGAGTTATGTGGATGTAACTGAGGGCAAAATTTGGGCAATGGTACCAGTCCAAGTAATAAAAGGGACTAAATTTGTCTAACTTCTATAATCAGAAAAGAACAAAGTTGTTTAGACCAATAAGGTCGTCTGTGTTCAAGGAATTGCCCCCTCCCTCTTACCTGCAATTTAGTGAGACTCCCATTATATAGTTATTCACTGATTTAATTCTACATTTGCAAGGCCATTATTAGGGTTTGCTGCAAACATTAGGTTTAAGATTTTATTCTACAATAGAGAAGTGACAAGTTGAATTCTTATTGCAGGCAAAGCAATGGTCGCTCTGCGTGAAAGATCCAAAATGTTTAGAGGGGAAGGTATATAATGTAAATTTGGTATGTTTATAAAAGACACCTGACCCCTCTCACCATTGTAATTTCAATTATCGTCGTTATGCTGTTTAAATACAAATGTGATTTTTCAGCGATCAGCACATTTGAAGCATTGTACACCAGTGTAACTTTCTAAAATTAAAGAAACTAATGCTGTGCTTGCTCAGTATGCTATATTTAAACATCTATAATTATATCAAAACCACATTTCTTCTAGTCTTCATTCAGGGCTACATGCATGACAAGTTTCAAGTATTAAACCCAAGTTGTATTTGAGTTATAAAAAAAATCTGAAAATGTCTAATCATATGAAAAAAATTGTCCATGTTCATTAACTCCAAAATGCCTGATCAGATTTTTATGAAACAGTCCCTTTAAAAAAGTAATACAGAACTGACATTTCTGCTATAACCATGGCTTTGCTGCCTTGACACTATCGTTGTCTCATTTAAATGTACTTAAGTGTTAAGAAAGCTCTTAACATTTGAATTATATGTCCACTTTGAAATGTAAACTATAGAACGGCAAACTGAAATGTGAAATTGTTTTTAAAAGTATTAGGAAAATTATCAGTCTAGCATTGACGTAGATTCTGCATAAACTGACTGAAAATGATTTC